TTTTTTTTAATTTTTTAGCTTTGTTTCATCCTTTTAACTTGTTCTAATTTAGTTTTTTTTTTTTTTTTATTTTTTTTTTTAATTTATTATTTTAGTTTTTGAATATGAATATTTAGGCATTTTTCTTTTTATTTTTATGAAATAAAATTTATAATATTTAAAAAATAAAAATAACAGTAATTAAGTGACAATATGAATATCTGTTAAAAAAATGAATTGAAAGATATATAAACCTAAAGTAAATAATTTTTGAAAGATTACAATTCTTTTGTTAAGAAAAAGAAATATTTTAAATATATACTAAAATTCGTTTCTTTTATTTTACCTATGTAAAAAATGAAATTTGTTTGCATTTTCATTACATAAATTTATGTTTGATCAAGTTACTTTGAACAGCTGATTTCTTTTTTTTTGAAATATCTAGTATTTTATATTAATATATGTAAAAAAATACGTTTGATTAAAAAATAAAATATATATAATATAAAATTAGTATATTATATATTGATATTTATGGGTAATTTTTAATATTTTTATTTATATAATAACATTTTTATGCTTCTTTTAATTAAATTGTTTTAGAATCATCTACAAAATAGTATAATTAATAAATTTCCAAAAGTAATGTGGAAAAAATTTTTTATTTTCTTCGTTTTAGTAATATCAAGCAAGATATAAGTAAATTTATTTACTCAAGTAAAATAAAGTTATATTAAATATAAAAAATAAAAATTAAATTTCATTTTTCTGAATATAAAATACTATATTTACTTATTTTTATAGAAGATATAAAATAATTTTTATTCATTGTTATTGTTTTTTATACCGTTTTATATTAACTGAATTAGAAATATTTACTATATGATGTAAGAGATGAAAAAACTTCACATCAATTAGGTTCATTTTTTTAAATTCTTTATTTTAAAAAAAAAAAAAAAAAAAAAAGAACTAAAAAAAAAAAAAAGAAAATAATAAATTATATTATTTTTAGAAAATGAACTTGATAAAAAACTAGATTTTGAAATAAAGTTTCCTACTTCTATGGATTATGAAGATTTGACATACTTAACTTCAGATGATGAATATGAAAATGAAAGTAAATATAGAGAACCAGTTCCATATATAACCATAAATAGATTAGATGAAGGTTGTTAATTTCCTTTATTTTTTATTTATTTATATAAACTGATAATATTTATATGTATTTTTTTTTTTTTTTTTTCTTTCTTTTATTAAAAGATTCAGATAATATCGAGAAATCTTTATTAGTAATATAAGGAAATAAACAATATTAATAATTCCAAAATAATTGAATACTTTTGATTTAAATATAATTAATAATATTAATAATTATAAAAATGAAATTGCAATATATATTATTCTATTACAACATTTATAAATCTAATTTTTCGTTAACTTTTTTTTTTTTTTTTGAAGAGTAATAACATAAATGATATAGATAACTCAGTAGATAGACTTTTAAAAAATAGTGAGAGAATTGATGTTGCTCTTTCAAGTATATATGATGTATGAACAAAAAAAAATTCTAAAACAATTGTTATATGTATAAATATATATATATATATATATATTTACATATTTGTATTGTTTATATTATTAGCTTGAAGAAAGACAAAAAAAGTTTAAGGAAGAAAAGAAGTTTGAAAATAAAAAAAAAAAAAACGAAATTACATTACAAAATAAATTTATAACTATATAAAACTAAATTAATAATATCTAAAACCCCATAAAATAACTTCATATATATCTTTATGATATTATTTTTTTTTTTCAAATTTAAAAAATTAAAATTTTAATTTAAGTATCATATTATCCTTCTTTTTTTTCATTTAAAACTATATTTATACCATAGAAAATATAACTTCAAAAGATATTTAAGATAAAATATAAAAAGGAATCTTATAATAATTTCAAAAAAAAGGTAATGAAATATTAAAGTGTAATTCAGACATATTTTAAATTTTTTAAAAATTTTTTTTTTTTTTTTTTTTCTATGAATAATAAAATATATGTTACATAATAAAAAATTAAAAAAAAAAACAAAAATTATAAATTTTTTTGTCAATTATTTTTTTTATTTTTTTGTTTTTTTATTTTTTTTTTTTTTTTTTTTTTTTTTTTTTTATTTTTTTTTTTTATTAATCTTCTAAATACATATAAAAACAAAGAAACCAAAATAATTATTTTTAAAAAAAAAAAAAAAAAAAAAAAAAAAAACCAAATATTTTTATAATAATAAATAATTTTTAATTATGAAAAATAAAAAATTTACATATTTGAATTCCGTTTTATTTATTAAAACTACTTTTAATTGTTTTAAATGAATAAATTGATTAAATTATATATATTAATATATGTAAATATATATATATAATTATACAAAATGAATAAAACCAGTTGTTACTGGAAAAATTGATTTTAAAATAAGTTGTAAATTTTTTTTTTTTTATGTACATTATTTCCATAAAAATATATCTAAAAAGAATTTATATTTTTATTTTTTTGTTAGACAAATTACAAAAAAAAAAAAAAAGAAAAATTTTTAAAATTTATGTGTATTATATAAAAAGAGCACTATTTTTTCTTTTTTCATAACAGTTTTTTAAATGTCTTTTCTTTTACTTTTATTTTTTTTTTTTTTTTTTTTTTTTTTTTTTAATTACTTTTTAAATATATTTAAAATTTTTTTTTATTTTTCTTTTTATTAATTCCCTTCTTTTCCTCAATATATTACTATTATAAAGTAAACCTTATTTTATATTTATTTTTATTTTTTTTTTTTTTTTCTTGTTTCAAAGATAAAAAAAATAAAAATAATAAAAATTATTCGTTATTTAAAATAAGGTAAACAATGTTTAATTATTTTATTGTTCTAATGTAAAAAAATTGAAAAAATATATTATTATATACACATTTTTTAAATATATATTCTTAAAGATTAGAATAAATATAATTTTTTTTTTATAAACTTTAAATATTATAATTGCTAAAATTTTTTATTTCATATGTGTAAATAATAATAATAATATATATATACTTTTTTTTTAATAATTTTTTTTACGTTATTCTATTACAAAATTATATTATTTTATTATTATTTTTATTTTTTTTTTTTTTTCTGTATAAATTATATCAACATAATTTTTTCAAAGTTTCTCTTGAGTTTTAACTATTTAACCTTTTTTTTTTTTTTTTTTTTTTTTAAATGATTATTTTATTCCTTTTCTATTAATGACATCCCTAAAGAATCATTTATGAAAAACAGAAAAAATAAAGGTAATATACAATATATATTTTACTAATAATAAATGCAAGATATGTAAACAAATATAAAATTTTATGTATAACTTTCATAAAATTGTTATTTATTCAACTTAATAATTAATAAAAATTTGGTCATAAAAAAATATTAAATATAGAAGTTTTAAATGCATATCAATAACAAAATTTTTCTATAAATATTTATATTATATTAAATTCATACTATATATTATTTTTTTATTAAACATCTCATTTCTATATACACTAATATTAAATACACTTCTAAAAAAAAATAGATTGTTCAAATCTATTTATTGACATTAAAACATACATATATAATTAAAGAACAAATAAATTTTATCATTTATACATAAAAAGAAAATAAAGTTCTTTCTATAATAGTAATACCTTTTCTTTTCTTAATAAGAGTACAAGAATTGTGGAAAAATTATTTACTTTATTTTTGTGTATCTATTATTTAATTTATTAATTAATAAATTTGTAGTGCATAATTTTTGCTTCAATAATATTTAATAATTTACAGTTTCTTTTATATTAATAAAAATAAATAATTCAGAATATTAAAAAAAAAATTCAAGCATATAAAATAGAATACAACAATATAACTTAAAGTATCATTCCACTAATCTAATACAAACAAATCTATTATGGTTATGTAATTTGTTGTTAATTGCCCAAAAATTATAATTTAAAAAATTCTTATATAAAAATGCAAACATTTATTAATAATAAGGGATTAATTTAATTATATATATAAATATGTATTATCTTTTTTTAGATACAATTTATTTGATTTTTTAATAAAAAATTTTTTTTTATCTAAATAAAAATGTTTACATTATCTTTCTTTTAATATGTAAAATAAATGATTTATCTAAAAAGAAAGTATAAATATTATTTTATATTTTAAGACAAATTAATTATGATTGTCCATAGAAAAAACATAAGGTATCTTAAAAAGTACTAGAGTATATATCTTCTTGAAAAATCATTCATATAAAGTATTAATTGTTCAAAGACTATCAAGTCATTATTTTACGTGTAGAGTAAGAATACAATAAAAAAAAATAAGCAAATTTTTCAATATATCAAAATAATGCATTGATAACATATAAAAGTTTATTATAAACCTTGTATATATAAAAAAGAAAAATTATCACCATTATTTTTCTCATTGTATTATTAAATTCATAAATTTTATAATTATTTAATGTTATTTTTGAAAAAATCTAAGTATCATTAACATTTCTACAAAACATTTTTTTTTATTCCTATCATAAAAATAATGCATGCAAAAAATTTATATTGCATTTTTTTTTTAAATATTACTAAATTTTAACTAGTCATTATAACTTCATATGAATAAAAAAACAGACTTCACTAATTTTGTTTTTAATGAGTGTTCAGTATTATTGTATAATTTATGCTATTGTTAAATTGTTATAGTCTATAATATACAGATTTTGCTTTTATTTTTTTATTTAAAAATAATTGTCGATTATATTTCAATAATATATATTCATTACATTTATATTGTAAAATTTATTTACTACATCATAACGACATTTTAACTTCATTAAAAAAAAATATTCAGTAATTCAGTACTACTGTTATTTTTTTGTAATGTTATTCATATTTTATCATTATATCTTAATATGAAATAACTTTTAATTGTCACTAATTTTATAATCATAATTATTTATATTTTAACTCTTAAAAATCCATATTTTTATTTTTTTATTTTCATTTTTTTTCCTGCATTAATATTTTTCATTAAAATTTTATATACTTACATTTTTTTTTTTTTCATATTCATCTTATTTTTTTAGAAAATTAGCCACTAATTTTATAATCATAATTATTTATATTTTAACTCTTAAAAATCCTTATTTTTATTTTTTTATTTTCGTTTTTTTTTCCTGCATTAATATTTTTTATTAAAATTTTATATACTTACATTTTTTTTTTTTCATATTCATCTTATTTTTTTCGAAAATTATAATATTTTTTATTATTTTCAAATTTGTTTTCATTATTATCTATTTTTATCAATTTTCATTGCATAGTTATGACTTCAATTATAATAATAATAATAATAATAATTTTCATGTTTTATAAAAAATTTTTTGCATGTATTAATTAATTCTATTTAAAATTTTTTCTCTTCTATATGAAATTATTGCGCATAATAATTCCTTATTGATAATAAAATATTATTAAATTATATTTAAAAAAAAATTACTCCTAAAATTTAAAAAAAAAAATAATTTTTATAAATTACAAAATTTCTATTTTAAGTGAGAAGTTTTTTTTCTTTTCATAATTTAATCATATATAAAATCAATTAATTGCTTCCATATTCAATACTATTATATCTATAATAAAGGAAATGAATTTAAGAAATATTTACTATTTCATATTCATTGAATTTAAAAAAAGTGCATAATATTATCGCTAATTATTCTTTTTTTCTTACATTAAGCTAAGAATTCTGTAAAATCATTTTTAAAACATTATTATAAATTAATTTTATTTTCTGTTAATTGTTTATATTAATTTAAAATATTTGAAATGTGCTTCATTAAAAAAAAAAAATTAGCTATCCAAATTATATATTATTAAAGGAAAACCTTTTCTTTGACAAAATTTAAATTATTTTAATAGCTCATTATGAAAAAAAGAAATAAAGAAAAAACTGTACTAACTAAAATTAAAATTTCTAAATAACTAAAAAATAATGAGTTTAAACTTATTCTTTTCTTTAATTTATTTTCTAAAAAGTTAAAAACATCCATTCTTTCTAAAAATTGACAACATATCCTTATTTATATGTGAATCAATATTAATTTCTTAAAATAACAAAAAATTACATAATTTGAACAAAAAAATTTAAAATGAATGCACAAGTAAACGGAAATAGCACTTCTCATACGAAAATTCATAATGAAACTAAGTTAGGTAAATTTTTTTTTACATTCTTAACAATTGATGTAATTTTAGGAATAGCAGGTGTACTTATGATAATTTTGATTTTCAAATTATATGTAAGATAAAATCAATTAAACATATATATAATGCTTTTAATTTTTTTAATACATATTTGAATTAAAAGTTCATTGATGTAAAAAAAATCTTTATGTTGATTTATAATTTTCATTATAGCTGGAACAGCGTAGGATTAATTATGATCTGGACAATTTATCGATAGATTCAGGATATATAGAAAATTGATTTGTTAAATGGGTATTCAGTGACTTCGCTAGAGTATTAAATAAACAAAATAATAAAGAGCATGTAGAGTTGCCTCTACGATTTTTGATGTATTTACATATATTTTAAAATGCTTTTAACGAGTGATTCTTAATTATGTGATCTACTTCGTTCAGCATTCTATAATTTCAATAGACATTTATTTACTATAATAAAAAACTTTGTTTTTATTAAAAAATTATATCCTTATTGAATATTGATTATTAATTAATTGTATATTACTTATTTTTTTGTTATGATTTATGTCCAGCAATTTAAATATATTGCTGTTAAATTAACAAACATAAACA